GTGCTGTTGCTTCTAGAGCCTCTCAGCTGACAGTGCAAGAAAAATATACATATATATTTATACACACACATACACACATATGCATACAGATATGTGTATATGTATATACATCACACACACATATATATCTATATATCTATATATCTATATATATATATGAAGGCATATATACATATACACACATATAAATATATATGTATATCCATATGTATAAACATTTTTCTATGTAGCCATCTGTATCTATAAGTGTATCTATAAGTGAATTCATACTTATGTCTTTGACTCTAATTCAGTGACTTGGGAATTATTCTAGCCTCTTCCACTTGCTTATCTGTGACATTTCTCTCTGTTGGAGCATTTTCAAAGCTGGAAGAATTATTGGCACTTAGGTTGCAAGATTTATGGCAGTCAAATGTCCTGCAACCCTAGGAATAGTTTTACATAAATGAAGAACTTTCTCCCCTAAAGTGACATTAGTGGCCCCATTGGAAAAGATTAATTAAGTGGGCATCGACATCCGCAGGAACTTCAATAGGAGCAGCTTTGTTCAGGGTGAGGATGAATGACAAAAACTTTAAGACAGAAGGGGAGTTCCCCTTGCGTGGGTGAATGATGGCTTCAGGGATATGAGGTGAGATGCTCTCATCTTCACTCATTGCATCTGGGCTGGTCTTATGGGCTGTCTGACCAATAGGATGCATCAAAAGAAATGGTGTAGCAGTTCTTAGTCAGAGCCTCAAGAGTCTTTGGCTGTTTCTGCCTGTTCTTCTATGCTTTTGCCACCACCAAGAGAGTGTGTCCAGCTACTTTTCTACAGTATAAAAAAAATAGGCTCAGAGCCAAGTCACCACAGCCAACATCGTTTTGATCAGCTAAGCAGCTATTCCCCAGATATACAAGGAGCACAGTCAAAACCAGAGGAAACTAACCTGCTGAGCATGGCTGTGGGAGGCAGCACCCTGGATGGTTCCCTTTATTCTGGTGTACATGCCCCTGTGAAGCTCTGTTCCCGCACGGGCTGGCCCTGGTGATGGTTCTAATGAGTAGAATATAGGAATATGGGGAAATGTCGGTTTGAAGACCAGGTTTCAGAAGACTGACTTTTGTCCTGCTCATTCTTTTCTTTCTCTCCTGTGGCCCTTGCTCTGGGGGAAGTGAACTGTTGTGTTGTGAGTGTCTGTGTGGAGAAGTTTGCACGGTGGGGAAGTGATGTTACCTGCAAGAATGTGAAGGCTGCCAGCCCTCCCATGAGGGAGTGTGGATGTGGACTGAGCCAGGGATGAGCCTTGAAATGATAGCCATCCTAGCCGAGGTGGCAATTGCATCCTGTGAGAGACCCAGGGTCAGACGACCCAGTTAAACCACACCAGACTGTCTTTTTATTAATTTTTGTTGGAGTGTGGTTGATTTACAATGCTGTGTTGGCATCAGGTATACAGGAAAGTGATTCAGTTATACGTCCACCCTTTTAAGATTCTTTTTCCATATAGGGCACTGCAGAGTGTTAAGTACTGTTCCCTGTGCTATACGGGCGGTCCTTATTAGTTACCTGCTTTATATTCACCTCTGTGTATGTGTCAATTCCAATCTCCCAATTTCATCCCTCCCCCAGCCCCACCACCCCACACCAGATTCTTGACTCAGAGAAACTCTGAGATGATAAATGTGTATTTCTTTATGGTGCTAAATTTTGGGGAAACATGTTATGGAGAAATAAATAACTAATACATCAGCCTAAAGCAGAATCCTGAAGACTTGATAACTTGAAAAATGCTCATCACTTTAAGACTCTGGTTTTTGAGATCCTTGTTATGCAGCATTATTGTGGCAAGAGGCAACAAATGCACCCTGAAATTCACACCTGGTGTTTTAGGGAGCAGGGAGAGGGGATGGGCTGGAAAGAGTGGTGAGGAGAATGGCTGTTGATTGCCTCAATTCCAGGAAGTGTAGGCCTGCAGACAGACTATTAAATTTTCAAGGCTGATTTTTATATATGGGTTTTGAAAATCAATTGGATTGATTAATGGCTATATCTTACATCTAGAAATAGTCCTTTTGGATTATAACATCTTGCAAATCAAATGCTGAGGGTACTAATTATGACAGTCCAAAAAAGGATCAATTTTCTTCTCATGGCTGAGATGCAATTCTGTCCTATTAGCACCATTCCAGTTTTTTCCCTTTTCTTTCTTTCTTTCTTTGGCTTAGCATAACAGAAGACCAAAAAGCGTGTTATACAACTGGATAATGCAACTATGCTACATTTTAGTTTGCTTTTAAAATGTCATTTAGAGGGGTAGTTAGAGGTAAATGGAAATAATCTATAAGGACACCAACATTAAAGAAAGTCTGAAATGGATCACAGGTAAGTCGACAAATATGTTAGAATATAGATAGATAGGTAGACACCCTCCATCCACAGGTGCAAATTGGAAAGGGTAAAGTTACTCCAAGTGCAGGGCATGCTGCCCAGTTTCCCTTTGCGCAGACAGCGTACCCATCTCCTGGCTGCAGTGTTGTCTGCTAACAGCTCCAGGCTGCACACTCCTTTGGAGTCCGGTCTGTCACAACACAGTGGTATCACTAGAGAGGATCTGTATTACTACCCTTGGAATGACCTGCAAAGATGCAAAATGCTCAGCCCCCTGCCTCTAGGTGGGACCACTCTGAGGTTGAACTCCTAATCCAGAGCCCCCTGTGTAATCAGGCTGAGGTTCATCTTCACGGAAGACCATGTTCTCATTCAGCTCTTCCTCCGGCCCCCGACCACTCTGCTCCTGAGAGCCCTCAGTAAACCACATGCATCTCAGCCTCTGCTTCCAGGGAAACCAACCAAAATCCTCACAAATTTTCTTATCTTTTCACAGACTTAATTGGAATTCTATTTGCAGTCTCCAATCAAGCGTGTGACCATGTGCATTTGTTTTGCCCAGGACAAAAATACCTGACACCCTCTTCCTGAGTCATGTTGGCTGGTTATACCATCATTCTGAACCAACCTTCTGTCCCAGGGCATCTTGGGCTTGTCACGACTGAAGGGGCCCAGTCAGCAGGAAAAGAAAGATTCACCAATTTATCTTGCAACACAGCTCTGCTAGACTTGGAAGTACCTCTAGGGCATCGTGAGAGAGAATTGTCTGGGGTCTAAGCCTGGTGTTCAGGGTACCAAGAGACAGTTCACAGATTATTTACTGTGACATTTGCTTCTACAACCTGCATCCTTCTGAGACAGTGCCTCCTTAAGATCAAAATCATCATCCTGAAAGGCACTGGCAAGGAGATTTTTCTTAAAAATACAATGATCCATTCTGTGCATTTCCTCCCTCCACTGGCCCTTTGGTAATTAACTAGGTGAAATAAGGAGATAATGGTGAATCTGGAGTAACTGGAGCCTCTAGTAAAGTTGACTCACTTCTTGTGTAAAGTAACAAAATTCTAAACGTCAGCATAGAGACACTTACTGGAGGGTATAAATGTTTTGTTTCTTTTTACCGCAAGGGTCTTAGGAGAACAAAGGAATTCGTTTTTATTCAGAAAGAGAGAGAAAAGAAAATCTTGAATATTTTTAAATGCCATGTGATGGTGGTATGCAGTCAAATACATATGACTCATGTACCAATATGGATAACCAGTGGACATCTTGTTAATTTAAGTATTTGGGGCTCTTAAATGGTGAACTGTGTGGATGTGAGCACAGAGGCAAAGTTCCTGAAAAAGAAGACAAAATAGTCTGAATCTGAGAAAGTTCAGAACAAAGTTGAGGTTGAAAAAGTCCATGAAAAGAGTGTAAAATGCTCTGCTGGCTGAACTATGTCAGGCACTGTGCTTACTCTTCTTCTAAGTAAGTGCTTGGAATTGTAATTACAACCCACGAAATAGGTACCCATTCAGGTCCTGTGTGACAGATTAGGAGCAGAGTCCTAGGGAGAATAAAGTAATAGTTCCGAGGGCACAGACTTTGTGAGGGGCAAAGCCTCTCTAACCCCTAAGGTCCTGACTCTTATTAAGTTATGTTAGAAGCTACTGAACAAGGCACAAAGGCTGGCCCAATGTGAGGAAGATCTCTTATGTGGGGTGTGGGGAAGAAGAGCTAGCACTTGTACTAAAACCCATGGTGAAATGGAGATCTCGAGTGTTTATAGCAGTTAAAAGCAGTATAGCATCATGAAAATCAGTGTAGCTTCTGTTTCCAATTTGATGTGTAATCTTGTGCAAATCAGTGAAGTCTAAGCCTTGGTTTATTCCTTTCTTAAGTAGAACAAATATCACCTTACATTTTAGGGTTATTGTAAGGACTGGGGATGATAGATATGAGGGTCTAGTACATAAAAGGTGACAGCTAAGTAATTTGATTATTTGCTGAGTTACTCCACAGGCCAAAGTATTGGCCACCTGATGAGAAGAGCCAGCTCATTGGAAAAGACCCTGGTGATGGGAAACATTGAAGGCAAGAGGAGAAGGGGACGACAGAGGATGAGATGGTTTGATGGTATCACTGTCTGAATGGACATGAGTTGAGCAAAGTCTGGGAGATGGTGAAGGACAGGGAAGCCTAGTATGCTGCAGTCCATGGGATTGCAAAGAATCAGACAAAACTGAATGACTCAACAACCCCATGGACAGGATAGTCTTGAGACCTAATGGTAAAACTAAGCAAAGTGGAACTTAAATTGCAATCTCATTAGTGCAATTCAAAACTATAATGAGGTACCACCTCACGCTGATCAGAATGGCCATAATAAAAAAATCTGCAAACAATAAATGCTGGAGAGAGTATGGAGAAAGGGCAACCCTCCTACACTGTTGGCAGGAATGTAAATTTGTGTAGCCATTGTGTAGCTTCCCTGGTAACTCAGCTGTTGAAGAATCTACCTGCAGTGCAGGAGACCCCAGTTTGATTCCTGGGTCAGGAAGATCCACTGAAGAACGGATAGGCTACATACTCCAGTATTCTTGGTCTTCCCTGCTGTCTCAGCTGGTGGAGAATCTGCCTGCAGTGTGAGAGAACTGGGTTTGAACCTTTGGTTGGGAAGATCCCCTAGAGAATGGAATGGCTACCCACTCCAGTATTCTTGCCTGGATAATTCCATGGGCTATTTAGTTCATGGGAGCACAGAGTTGGACATGACTGAGTGACTTTCACTTAAGGAAAACAGTATGAGTGTTCCTCAAAAAACAAAAAATTGAGTTGCTGTATGATCCAGCAATTCCACTCCTGGGCATATACCCAGACAAAAGTTTAATTCACCCCTCTGTTCATGGTGATAAACCTGGACAGCATATTATAAAGTAGAGACATCACTCTGCCAAGAAAGCTTCATATAGTCAAAGATACGGTTTTTCCAGTAGTCATATATGGATGTAAGTGTTGGACCATAAAGAAGGCTGAGTACCAAAAAAAACCCTAATGCTTTCAAACTGTGGTTCTGAAGAAGACTCTTGAGAGTCCCTTGGACTGAAGGAGATCAAACCAGTCAATCCTAAAGGAAATCAATCTTGAATATTCAACACTTTGGTCACCTAATGTGAAGAGCCAACTCATTGGAAGGAACCCTGATGTCAGGAAAGATTAAAGGCAAAATGAGAAGGGGGTGGCAGAGGATGAGATGGTTAGATAGCATCACTGACTCAAAGGACATGAATTTGAGCAAACTTAGGGAGATGGTGGAGGACAGAGGAACCTGGTGTGTTACATTTCATGGGGTCACCAAGAGTTGGACACAACTTAGAGACTGAACAACAATATTAATAGAAGCACTATTTACACATCAAGACATAGAAACTACCAAAATGCCCAAGACAAATGAATGGATAAAATAGCTGTGGTACATATATACAATAGAATACTACTCGGCCATCAGAAAGAATGAAGCAATGCCATTTGCAGGAGCATGGATGAGCCTAGATATTTTCATACTAGGTAAAGGAAGTCAGAGAGAGAAACACAGATGCCATGTGATACCACTAGTATGTGGAACCTAAAATACACACAAATGAGCTTATCTACAAAACAGAACCTGACTCACGGACACAGAGAACAGACTTGAGGTCGTTGAGGGGGAGAGTTGGGGAGGGATGGATTTGGAGTTTGGATTAGGAGATGCAAACTAGTAATACATATATATATAGGATGGATGAACAACAAGCTTCTATTATATAGCACAGGGAAATATATTCAATATCCTGTGATAACTGTCACTTTGCTATACAGCAGAAATTAACACAACACTGTCTATAAACTATACTACAATAAAAATTTTTAATTGCAGGGGGAGATGCATATTACACAGATGAAAGGATAACTTATTAAAGAAAACCCCAGGTTACATCCTGGACTTTATAAGATACTATCTAAAGAAAATGCTATTCCTAAGGTTGTGTTTCCCTTTACTTCCATACACACTTCATTCCAGTCATTTTTTAAAAATTTATTTATTTTAATTGGAGGCTAAATTACTTTACAATATTGTGGTAGTTTTTGCCACACATTGCCATGAATCAGCCATGGGTTCCAACCATTATGAAGAATAATTCTTTGCAATCCTGCTGCTCCTCTGACTCTATTGTTGATCCTCTCTCCCAAGCCTGGTTTTGTTTGGATATCTCATGCTTCAGATCTCAGCTTAGATATCATTCCTCTTTTAATCTGTCCTTGCTCCTTTAGATACCTTCAGTACATCTCCCTGATCAAAGCACTGATATCACTGCATTGTAATTGGTTATTTACCAATGTAACTGGAATGTAACTGGAGTTTCGTATGGCCCAGCCTCTCAGCAGTATTCCTTTTACAAAGATAACTGCTGTGAGCAATTCAAATTATTGCTCTCTAGCAAAAATACCAAGAATACCAGTGGGTGTGCTTAAAATTTAAAAAAAAATTAAAATATTTATATGAGCTGTATCTTTTATTTTTAATATCTTTCTCAGGCCTGAGAGATGCTTAAAACTACATGAACCACAAAAGCAAAACCAAATTAGTCTCTTTGCTCTGTCTTTCTTTCTTATCACCAAAATCCTCTCCCAAACTTAGTCCACCTGGTTTGTGTTTTTTCTTCCTTCATCTGTAAGAGATGGAGATGCCTATCAAGCAAGAATCTTCAGTTGGGAAGATGCGGTGGAGAGAAGGACCTGACAGGTGGTGGATATCTACACAGGTACATGTTTGCGTCCTTCTTCTCTACCTAGGTCCTTTAATATGCTCAGAGCAGTTTGATGATTAGTTTTAAGCTATGCTAAATACTATATTCTGAACATGTATCATGGGGTCTTATAAAGAATGGACATTTAAATACATGAACAAGTACATAGATAAACACAAATGGGGGGAAATAGACTTATAAATATCACTAATTAGGCAAATTAGGTTTTAAAGCCTGTGAATAGTAGCCTCTGTGGTTTCCTCTGAGCAAAGAAGATTCCCCAGGTGAACCCCTTTCCACATTTACCAGAGTTAGACGTATGGCGTGTATAGGATTGAATTAGAGTAGTTCGAGTTTCAAAATAATTCTTAAGAGATTTATCAGGTCTGAGACAACTCACCATGAACAGCCCTCAGCTTCATTTTACTTGAGAGTGAGGTGCAGTGGTCTGTCCATCCACTGGCGGTGGGTTTCAGGAACCCGGAGGATTCCAAAACCCATGGATGCTGAAGTCCTTTCTATAAAATGGTACAATTCAGTCTACAGCCCCTATTGTGAATTCCAAGATTGATCAAGTAAGAGATGCAGAACCCATAGACACAGAAGTACCACTGTACTTAGTAGTAAAGAACCTGCCTGCCAATGCAGGAGCCACAGGAGATGTGGTTTTGATCCCTGGGTCGGGAAGCTCCCCTGGAGGAGGGCATGGCAATCCATTCCAGTATTCTTGCCTGGAGAATCCCATGGACAGAGGAGCTGGTGGGCTACAGTCCATGGGATCACAAAAATTCTGACATGACTGAGCAACTGAGCACGCACACGCGCGCACACACACACGCACACACACGCACACACACACGCACACACACGCGCACACCCTGTACCTAAAGGGGAAAAAAATTGACTCCAGGGCTAAGACAGTGAGGTTTTCTGTTTAAAAGTTTATTTGTAATAATAGTATTTCCATCTGTTACGAGGGTTTTGGGTCTCCTTACATTTTACTGGAAGCCAGAGGCCAATCAACATATCAATGTTCACCTGTTGTTAAGCGCTCACTTTTACTTGGCTTAGATTGATAGATAGTTGCAAGGCTGGGCAAAATCCATCAAAACATAAATGAAATATTGCCCCCAAAGGAAGATAAAGTAAGCCCAGAATAAACCTTACAAATAATTTTGACTGCTTTAACTATTTTACATATACAATTTTTGATGATGATGCTACTGATAACTCTAAAAGTAACTACTGCATGACCAGGAAGTATACACAATGCTTCCTGACTACACATGGACTCTACCGGGTAACAATGTGAAAAGGAAACTGCCATTCGTCTCATTCCTGGGAGCTACCATCAATCACAGCAGCCACATTGTAGATATTGAGGGTCCACATCTGGAGAGAAGTGGTGGAAACCACCCCCTAGGGGGCAGCTGATAGAGGGTCTGCATCAGTGAAAAGCCTGGATCTGCTTGTGTATTGAAAGTGGAAATGGCTGGTCTTTCATTATTCTCCTCATTGAGAAGAAAACATAACTGTTTCCCATCAGGAGTTGGAGGCCCCAGATTTGATGATAAATAAGGGGTGGAGAATATGGAAGCAAATGAGGACCATCCAAAAGAGAATGAACAAAAGCTGCTTACAGAGTTTCCTGTAGCAGCAGAGCCTTGAGCTTCATGAGACTCAATGGCCAACAGGGGACCGGGGAACAGAGAGAGGCTTCAGGTGTGCTCTGAGTTGGCATGGAGGATCTGGAGTCAGGCTATCCAGAAGAGGGCATCTTTTGCGCTTGGTTTAGGGAACATATTTATTCTACTTGGTCTTGAGTTGAAATTATTGTTATTCAGTTCAGTCGTGGCCGACTCTGCAATCCCATGGACCACAGCATGTCAGGCTTCCCTGTCCTACACTATCTCCCAAAGTTTGTTCAAACTCCTGTCCCTTGAATCGATGATGCCATCCAACCATCTCATCCTCTGTCCCCTTCTCCTCCTGCCCTCAATCTTTCCCAGCATCAGGGTCTTTTCCAGTGAGTCGGCTCTTCGTCAGCTGGACAAACTTCAGCTTCAGCATCAGTTCTTCCAGTGAATGTTCAGGGTTGATTTCCTTTAGGATTGACTGGTTTTATCTTCCTTGCAGTCCAAGGGACACTCAAGAGCCCAAAAGCATCCACAGTTCAAAAGCATCAATTCTTCGGCACTCAGCCTTCATTATGGTCCAACTCTCATGTCTGACTACTACATGACTACTGGAAAAACCATAACTTTGACTCTTGAGGACTCTGTAAGTTCTGGTTTCAAAAATATCATTCTCTAAGTGTACTCCTCATTTTTCCTGGTGCTTTACCATAGAAATAGACAAAAGAGTAGAAGACACAGTGCCTATTCTCAAGGAGCTATTCCCACAAGCAATCCAAGAAGGGGAAAATAATTGTTTCCCCAGCCATGTGGCTGGGAAATTGTAGTGAATAGCAAACAGTTATTATCCTGAGGCCTGGTTAGGATTGTCTTCTATGTCATGAGGATGCTCTACTTTGTAAAGAATTTTCCCATTTAACATAATTACACAAGGTTTTAGGTATTGTATTGGTCAAAAAGTTTGCTTGGGGTTTTGTGTACCATCTTATGGAAAAACTTGTGTGAACTTTCTGGCCAACTCAGTATTTAATGAATTTCAGCAAACCTGTATTGAATAATGTGCTAGGTGTTCCATGGAAACACGGGAAACACATTGGCATTTGTTTTCTAACTTGAAAGCTACCTTACCAGATCTAGGGTCAGAGAGAAAGAGGAACACTTAAGTATCAGTAGAATCTGGAAGTGGGTGGGAGCGCTATTTTCCTTTACAGAGTAATGTATCTCTGACTATCCTAATACAGTCCATTTCTGAGCTTTGATTAGTGAGTAATGAGGTTAACCAGAGTTCATATAATGGGGGGCAACTGAATTTGAAATACAATCATCAAGAGACATGTATTCAATGGAGGCAGAGATCATACTTTTTAGTACAATCCCTGTCACTTTTAGGTGGTTTTTTAAAGGTTTTAATAAATGAGATCTATCTCCTCAGTCAAATAGATGGAGACTTTCTCTAAACCAACTCCCAAACCAACTGCAAAGACTCCCAAACCAACTGCCATTTTTAATTTCTTCCTGGTGGGCCCAGTAGCTGTCTTCTTTTCTCATTGATTTTTTTTCTCATAAAGTGAAATAAACAGCTGTAGTTTGTGGCAAAGAAATAATTTCTCTCTCCTCTCCAAAAACCTATATTAAATAAGATCATTGCTTATTAGGCAATCTGTCCTTACATCTACCTTTCAGAATGGCACAACTAAGGAAAAATAAAACCAGAATCTATATGATTTTTCTTTTCACTCAGATAGGACAGTTAGATATTTACCTGAAAACTTTTTATATGTCCACATTTTTGAAAGCTGATTTTTAGACAAGATGGCAAGTTTTAAAAATTCATATAGAAAATGAATATAGGGTACTAACATTTAAACTACATAACACTTTAAAATACATAAAACACTTTCACAAACAATTCTCAAAGCTCATTTCCCCTTCAGAGCAATCCAGTGATGAGTACATTTATTTTTTAATTTCCTATTTCATCCATGAGGAAAGGAGGACTCAGAGAGATTTAGTAACTGAAGGTTACATGCATCTAGAAGGGAGTAACTTCAGATTTCAAACGCCATGCTCTTTTCTCATGCACCTTCTTTATATCCTGTGCTGCGGTTTGGTCTCCTGAGCTGCAAGAGAAACCTGTCTAAATGTGGCTAAATGAAAAAGGATCAGAATTATCTGAGTGACGCAGTTTAAGCCATCTGAAGACACTGTGCTCCAACCACTCTCTTTCATGTTTTGCCTGAGCCCTGCCTGCCACCTGAATAAAGAATGATTAGAGCAGATTGCCACTAAAGAGAGCATTGCTTTCCACCCAGCCAGCAGGGCATGATAAAAGAGATCTTAAGGATTCTGGCAAATTAGAGTTGCAAGTCTGCATTTTTTAATTTTGTGAGCTGATACAAATCACAGAGACCTGTCAGGGAGCATTCCAAGGTACCAGGCCATCCAACTTCAGAGATAGTGAAGAGTGAAAGAAGCTGACTGCACATCATAATTAAAGAGCTAGTTGTCTTCAGCAATTTCAGCTCCCATGGGATTTTCAACAGATTTTTTTTAAACTTGGAATAAAAGAGAGAGAGTGAAGGAGCGAGAATCCCAGTCTTCCTCGAAGCTCTGTAATGGAACTCTTTCCTGTGGCTATGAGAAGTCACTCAGTTTGTAATTAAATCATTTGGGTCCCAGACTTTGTCCTTCACTCTAAAGATCTGGTAGGTCACCGAATCTCTGAGGGGACTCCATTTCCACACTTAAAAGAAGAAAGAAGTGACTTAATTGAACTCTGAATCCTAACATTCTAGGATTCCATGAAATCTCTCACTTCTAAATGGCCATCCATGGACAGACAGCCTTCAAGTTTAAATGGTGATTTTTATTCCCTGTTGCTTAGCCAGGTAGTCCCTGGAGATGACTGGAATATGCCTGGGTTATAGATCAAATCAGCTCAGTGAAGCTAGTCCATAGAAAGAAAGGAAATGGATGCAGTTGTTAACAGAGCAGTTCTGTCGTATCTCACTTCTGACACCTTCTCTGTAATGATTCAAGGTTGACACCCCCCTGGTATCCTTGGGTGGCTTCTTTTGGCATCCCTGGCTTTGTGTATGATGAAGGCTGACATTGCACTGTAATCATTTGTGAGCCAATGATGGTCACCTGATGGTCCCAGATTGAGAACCACTGAATCTCACAGGGATCATTCCAGGTCCAGCAATTAGCTGCAGCGTTCAGTGAATGTGAGGACCTTCCTGGCTCCCTCAGGTTATGACAGTCCCTTTGGGGGCCTCTGCATATGTCACTGTCATCCAATACTGAATAAACCAGTCATGTCTACAGAGCATCTTACCCTCATCATAGCTATAAGATTTGGGGGCCAGAGATTGGCTTTTCATCCCAAATATTTTATTTCAAACATATGGTAAAAGTAAGAAGATAATAAAACCAACAACCATGCTCCCTCTAATCAGATCTAAAATAATTCACTGCAAATCTTTATTTTCATAAAGAAATAGAGTTACTAAAATAATTGAAGCCCTATACTCCCTTTCTATCCCACCCTCTCTTCCGAGAGTGCCACAAGGAAGAATTTGATGTCTTTCTCATCCATGTTTTCATATTTTACCACAAATATATGACTGTTCATAAGTCACATTGCATTGTTTTCAAAATTTACACACCTGCTATCACACTGCAATTTCATCTGCTCACTTAAAGTCATGTTTGAAATTAATCTACAGTTATTAACTTATTCATTTTAACTGCTATGCCTTTATGGAAATATAATGTTTTTATTATGCTTCTGTTTAGATTACTTAGATGATTTAAATTTAGATTATTATAAGCTTTTTCCTTTTAAAATTAATGTTCCTTGTTCCTTTAAACTAGATTTACTCAACGGTATACATTTGGGATTATACCTCAAGGTTTTGAGCAATTCTAATTGTGCACATCTATGCTTAACTCTGTTCCCTAACATCACCTTCCACTGGACCCTTGAAATTAGACAATACCTCAAGTGGGGCTTTTTTTTTTTTCTTGGAGAGCCAGTTTTTAAACATCTTCCGGCATATTCCTGATCAGATCAGCAGGATAAAAGCTCCAATTTCCTTATAGTCTAGTTGACACTGAAAGTAACACAAACACATTCATGCACACACAAACACACAATTTAAAATTCATCCAAATTGATGAGTGTGAAGTGCTAGCTCATTTCTGTTTTAATTTCTTTTCCCTGATCATTACTAAGGCTGAGCTGTCTTTTCACATGCTTATAGGCCAGATGACTTTCATATTCTTATATTGTCTATTCTTCAATTGTGTTGGTTTTTTCTCACTCATTTGTAGGAATTCTTTATATAATCTCAATAGTAATTCTTTCTCTGCTTCATGTTTCATTAATGTATCCTCCCATTATGTATGTAGATTTTCTTTTTAGCTACTTATAGTGGTTTTTATTTTAATATAAATTTCAATGTTATCTAAATTTAATATAATCTAATTTTAAATTTTAATGTAGTAAATTTATAAATCTTTTCCTCACAATTTTAGAATTCTTGTTTCAGCGTCTTTTTGATTCAGGATGTTTTAACAACTCTAATTTTATAACAAATCTCAATCAGGAAAAGCAAGTTTGAAAAGCAAGTTTGAATAACTTGCTTTCCTTCAAAGCTATCATGGCTATTCTCTAAACTCTTCTATATTAATTTCAGTAATCTAACTTTCCATAAAAAATAATAATTTCTATAAAATCAAGCATTTTTATTTTATTGTGTTTTTAGTCAATACCAAAATCTCTTAATGTATTTACCTTTATTTTTCTTATAAAGTTATACACTTCCCCTATTATATTTCTTTCAGGCTTCTCATAGCTTGTTTTTACAATGACTGGGATGTTATTTTAGTACACAGCTTTCATAATGTTAAACAATTATTGCTTTTCTGTGATAATCTCAATTCATTTATAATGATTTTAAATAGTTATCATTGAATTCATTTTTTAGTATTGGATTTAGTGTGTTTGCATTCATTTTCATAAGTAATACTAAACTGTAATTTGTATTTTTAATATATTTTGTGCTATTTCTTGTCTCATTAAATAAACAGAAAAGTTTCTCTGCTTTTGAAATTTTGTAGGACAGTTTTTTTTTTCTTCCACAGTAGCAAGTGAATACGAAGGCAATGGCACCCCACTCCAGTACTCTTGCCTGGAAACTCCCATGGACAGAGGAGCCTGGTAGGCTGCGGTCCATGGGGTTGCTAGGAGTCGGACACAACTGAGCGACTTCACTTTCACTTTTCACTTTCCTGCACTGGAGAAGGAAATGGCAGCCCACTCCAGTGTTCTTGCCTGGAGAATCCCAGGGAAGGGGGAGCCTGGTGGGCTGCCTTCTATGGGGTCGCACAGAGTCAGACACGACTGACGCGTACTTCCCCTATTATATTTCTTTCAGGCTTCTCATAGCTTGTTTTTACAATGACTGGGATGTTATTTTAGTACACAGCTTTCATAATGTTAAACAATTATTGCTTTTCTGTGATAATCTCAATTCAT